CAGAATGCCACGGCTGCTCATCCCGGTTCTTCTGGGAATTAACGCGAGTATTTTCGAAGGAATTTGGCTCTTCAAATTCCCTGTCGTTAAGTTCGGTAGACACAGCCGAGTCTTTGATGTTTGGCCTTGAAGGCCCACTGACCGGGGATCTTCCAAGTGACGTGGGAGAGTGTAGAGCCATGTCTTCCCCAAGGCTGTCAAGGTGGACATTGTCGGCCATTCCGTTTCCGTAGTCAGTGTCTTCCTCTTGATCGTCACCTGCGAAATCCGCACCGACGTCGCTGATCAACTGGTCGTATTCGCTCCCATGGACATGGCCTGCACCTTTCAGTGCAAAGAACATCTCAACGAGAACCACCACGAATACAGCAATCATAGCCACGAAGCCGGCCATGGCACGATAGGTCTCGCTCCAGAAACGAGGGAGACAAGGGTCGGTCAATGAAACAAATGCTGTAGGGAGGAGGTGTACGAAGGCTGTTGCAATGAGTACGCCTGTTCCAAAGTGTCTAGAAAGGAAAAGGAACCGGCGTGGAATTGGGAGGCGCGGGAACCGACGAGCGAGGACGGGGAATGAGCACGCTAATATAACCATGAGTTAACAGTCAATCACCCAAGAAGCTAAAGAGAAAGTAAACCGTACCTAGCGTGCTAAGCACTAAAATAAGGAACAGTGCAAAGACATGTATCGGCGTGTTATAGGCGCCTCGCTCCCTTGATCCGCAAGTCGAGGTGTCATCGTTAGAAGCTCGAGCATAACTCCGGCGGGAAAGCTCCGTCCGCAAAACAGATTCAGGAATATCGGAGATTAATGAGAATATATATTCAGTCCCTGCGGATATAGTTCTGCGTTAGTAGAGAACGAAAATATACCGTGCGGAGCGAAGCAGGCTGGGAGTTGGGCCGGTCAAGACATAGAGAGATAGATGTGCGTCTCCCATAGTATGTTCCCTTTAAACTAAGCCTACCTAAATTACTGGAGTCAGTCTGACCCGGCTTTTGGTTTCCGTCCATTCTCGGCTAAAACTCATATAACGATGTACTCTCGCCGCATCCATGACCTGAAAGCAAGCACTGGGCGCCGGCACAGGCTCACGAACGATTCAGAAGCAGCCTAAGTCGCATCAGTAGTTGTAAATTTTACAATGCAGCGGAGTACATACAGTTGCTTCTGCGAGCAGGATAACGCCGGAAGTTCTGGCAGCGAGCAGTCTCAATGACGTGATGCACCTAGCATGTCTAAAGGAGAGGACGCCTAATCGACATGTAGGGAGACTTTGCCGGTAATCCGGACACGCGGCTCGTTTGTCCAGATAATCTTATCAATCAATGCCGTGGTTCTCGCTTATCTAATCAAACCGCTGAACATTGAACTAACGTAAACCACAATCGCGCGGCCCGTACAATCGCGCGGCCCATCTTGTAATTCCATATAAAATATGTCTTTCTTAGAACTATTATATCTCAATCATTCCTTTATTTAGAGGGCTATAACTTTGTATATGGATTATAAATATAATAATAAATATACCAGGATTATTCAAAAAATTTTAAATAATTAATATATATTCAATATCTTGATAATTTAAAAAATACAGGTAAATTACATATATTTTATATTACCAGCCAAAATATGTAGCAATAAAAATCTAAAAAAATATAAAATATAAATTCATTGAAATATTAATCTATATATTCGAAACAAAGTCTAATGCATTGTTGGTGGTTGAAATATTTCAAATTAAAAAGTAGTTTTTATATAGCATGATTAGATGGGCCGCGCGACTGTGGGTTACGTTATGGTTGTTGGATTGATTAAGCTGGATAATCTAATCTGGATAAACTCGAAGGAGTGACGTACGAGATACTGAGCACACCACAGATGTTTCAGACGGCAATTATTGAGGGTCAAGATTATACTAGGGAAACCTTTATAACCATCAGTTGCTAGTCTAAATGGGCATAATAATATGCTGTAAAGAGCAGGACGTAGCTCCTTGAAGTACCCCATACGGGGTAGTTGAATCCAATTCGGAGAGATATAAGTGCGCCCGAAGGGGTCGTCTCTCTCCGTCCAGCCACATCGTTGTTAGTATCTGATGATTCTCACCCAGAATTGTTGATTAGGGAGAAAAGAATACTAAGTGTAATGCACTTCTTGGCAGGCGCTGTTGGCTAATGGAAGTCTATTTATTTCGTAGAATTTTCTTAATCCGATACTACCTGTTTCTCAGCTTTGTCCAGCCACTGGTACCCTTCATACGAGTGGGTCCACGAGGTCCACTGAGGTTGCCTGCGCCAGCAACTGTATCATTCACACTATCCCCGCTAGTATTACCCTGTCGCTCCGGTGAGGCAGAATTGGTAGATGGGTGTTGAAGAAGTATGGATTCCCTCGGTTCCTGACTTGCGTCGTCCCAGTCGCCTTCCAGCAGCTCCCATTCTGCACTGGCCATTTCACCCAACAGAGTTGATTTCAGCTTATCCACGATCTTTGTTGGAGTTGGAAGTCTCCATGTGCGCATGAATTCAGCCCCCTCGACAGCACCCAGAAAGGAATGTGCAGTGCCATGCGAGTAATGCCCTAGCATAGGGAATGACATTGTGCGTTGAATTGTAGTCCTGGGCGAATCTTTTGATACCCTCATCTTTGCCTGTATGTCGCGTCCAGCGAAGGCTCTTGATAGTGTCGATGGCTGCGCAGGTGGGGCCACAAGGAGTTGCCACAAATTCTTCCCAACGTTACAAACTTCTTCCCAGGACTCTGATGTTATGTTTATACCTTGAGTTCGACATAGCCACGAGACATTCCATGCCAGTAATGTTACCCCTTCAAGGAATAGTGCATAAGTTCCAGGGTCTTCCCTAGCCAGTTTGGGAAGTGCTCTGTCGATGGATAGGGGCCGAGGTCTGGAAGGACGAGGCGACGCGGTTCTAGTCCCAGACGGTACAGATGGTGGGTGTAGTAGCGAATATGTTACGGAATTTGGATCCCGTGAAAGATAGGACGCAGAGGGTGCGCATATAGTGGGTATAGGATGGTCTTTATGAGGTAAGGTGATTTCCGCTGGGAGTCTGAGAGACAGATAATGTGAAACAAGGACGAGAAGGTGAGCAACATTGAAGAGTGAGGTGGATATATAAGCTGGCGTGACACCTGTACAAAGCATTACTAACTGATATCCATTGAAAGTCGCAGAGCTGTAACTTTCCGTTCATGTCCCTCAAATCGATGATATCTATACCACCCATCGTGTAGACCTCTTCGGATAATCCTTCCTTGGTCCTTGTTTTCCGCTGTAGCCCATAAAGATTGGCAGCTTCTCGGCAGAGGAATATTCGGGCTTCTGCGGTCTTGCTATGGAGTGAATGCCAGAGATGATCCGTCCTCTTGGTATTATTCTGGATGTTGGCCAGAACTGCAGCTTCCCGCTCGCCGAGCTGATACTGCGCAGATTCAGAGTCCGAGTGCCGTCGCGCTAATGCGAGCTTGCGTTGAGAGATTTCAAGTCTTTTGTCCTTGATTTCGGCCGTCAGGTTTTCGAGTTGATCACCAAGTAGCCTCATCCTTTCACACGACTCAGCTTCTCCTTTAGCAATAATCTGTAAGCTTCGCTTGGCAGAGAGCCCATTCTGGTAATCAAAGGCATTTTCTTTGATTTCAACTGACCATTCCGCTCGGGTCGTCTCAAGGCTCACTCTAGCTTGTATGTGTTCCGCGATAGATTGTTTCTCAAGCAGGACCCTCGCGTTCTCGACCCGCAGCTGATACAGCTGACTACGGGCACAGGTAGGGCAGAAAAACCGTGTTCGCGAAGCTGGGGCGCGAAAACATGTATGACAGCTCATCTCATAAAGCTTTGTCTCGCTCTCGGTTGGTTAATACCGCCGTAGCTCACAGTCGCATAGCCTTGGGCTTCCAGTGATGGATTACCAACTCGACTGTCTGGCTTCGAGCACGTATGTTGCATGAACAAATCATGAAAAAGGGGGAAACTCATGTCTTAACCGGCTTAAGTGATGATAGGGGACAAAATATGTTCGATAAGTGTCACTGGGATTTACTTATCTGAAGCCAACGAAGGGGACCGCCGTTTGCGTTACGTCACCTGACCACTCGTGTATATGTACTGGGTGTTTGACCTGAGGCATATATACGTGTTACATAAGCGACATCAGTTGTTGTAACTAGTTAATCATCACACCGCTCCTTTGTGCTTAAGTGCCGTATCCGTAACAGTAGTATCACTGAACTTACAGCCGAGTATTACAAGCTGGGAATTTACCAGCTTCGGTTCAATATGAAGTAGTTGTTAGTATAAACAAAGACTATATGTCGCTGTATTGTTACGAGGCATGTTAGTTCAGCATATCAGCCGGCTTGCCCTTACACTGAATACGTTACCGAAACGTATAATTGCGTTTGCAGAAGCCTGTTGATTTTTCTATAGTGCTGCTTAATCGCAACTATCAGCGGTTTCCAGGAGCAGAATGATGAAGTTATTGGATTTCGACGTAGTGATATGGATCTGCAGGTGATCACCACTTCCGGCGTTTATAGCCTAAACATATCAATTGAAAGCAGTATATGCGATGTAGTATGGTGGATAATTACGATCACCTGACCCATCTCGTTTCCCCCTCAGGGAGTTTCGATGCTAGACTGAGCCATTGATTAAGTTCACAAGTTGCGTACTTCTGCCATACACTCAAGAAGATCGAAGTTCCAGCGCTAGGCGGTGTAAGTTGAGCCACGCATACTTTCTATAGTGTGTATGCTAACACTTGACGGTGCTCCCCTGGTACGTTCCCAGTTAGTTGAGCATCGAACATCAGCATGGTCTGCGAAATTATGTGGTCTATGTCTGCACGATATATCTAAATCTTCCCTTTCTGTATCTACTGCTACTGCTACTGCTTCTGCTTCTGCTTCTGCCTTTGCTTCTGCTCCTATTCGACGCTCGATCCTTAGCCCGAGAAGCTATAGTCTAGCCATCGCCATGACTTCTCTAAGCAGGGACCTTGCAGGCTCCAATTTTCCTGGTAGTGATTTGCATCAGAATGACCTTCACACCGATCCTATGAAGGCCCTTCAACAGTATATGTCTCCACCTGGAAACCTTATGGACTATGATTGGGACCAGCTCCAAGAAGAGTACATCGCTTCTATGGAAAAGCATGAAAATGCCGAAAGAGAGTTACGTAACCGTGTCTCCAAGTTGCTCGAGGTGCTTACAGCCGTTATTGATCTCGTGGTCTTTATCTAATATATTTTTTAGATTTTCATGGCGTGGTCGGAGACAACTATCATGCGCGATGAAATTAGAGCTTTAAAAAGGTTGGCCCTCCCAAGTCCCCGAAGTTTCAAACACAATCACTGATGCTATTGTAGATTTAAGACGCAAATGAAACATGTTCAGACATCTGAAGAAGATCTGGAACTGAAACGTAAACACTGTACGTAACATCAGTCTCAGCCTAAACCCTTTTTATGTATATTGTTGCTGACGATGACTCAGATGTCGATGTTGTAAAGGCTTTCGAAAGTGCCCTCGCGTTATTGAATGACCGCCTCAAACCGTAACATTACTCGAAGGCGGCTTCTTCGAGCTCTTCCCTTCGATTCCATATCCCATACCAAAATTGCAGAAATTTACACATTATCACAGGTTATCATACAATGTATCCAATGAAGTTCCACTGTTCCATTCGCATAGCAATAGGTAATTTAGACCGAACTGTTACAATCTAGGCTATCACTGTTCCACGATATCAACATGATAAGGCAACATAAGTCCAAGTAACCTACTACCCTGCTCTAGTCGGGAAGTTGTTTCGTCCACCAACGCTCTCATAGGTGTCACCAACACCTCTCCCAGAGCTTGTCAGTAGCCGTTCCTCCTCAGCCTCTTCAGCTTCCTGGTCTAGTAGACGTTCATCAAGTTTCGGATGGCGGATGAAAGAGGTGATCAAGACGAGCAAGTAGATACCTGAGATTTTAGATCTCATAAGCCTATGGCTACCTCCAATGTGACGGTTTCCACTTACCGAGAAAGATAAATTGAGACCAGAAAAATACTGTACCGAAGAAGGGATAGCTTATTGTCACGCGGTTGAGGAACATACTAGTGACGCTGGGTGTGCAGACTTGCTTGGCAGCTGTGTTGTCTGTTAGTTCCGAGCATGGCTTGATCAAATGTTTGTTAGTCAAACAATCGTATTGCTGGCCCTGGGGGCGATCACAGAATGTTTGTGGTCCAAAAGTTGCGTACTGGGGTGCAACAAGCATGGGAATCGAATAGTCCAATGCTAGTATTGTCAAAATCAGCATGGCAGTGGTCAGCAGCAGGGCTTGTGGAGACGTGTGCCCCCTTCTGATCCGAAATATTCTAATCCAGAGAAATCGAATGCCAATGGTGGATATCCCGACCACTGAACTGCCAAATAGCAACAGAACAACTACTGTGAAGACGGCGTAGTCAATAGGAAAAACCTTGGCTGATTGAACGAATACCCAGTTCATGGGATTAAAAACCCCAATGCGACTGAGTATGTATCCGCAACGTTGTTTGCAAATAGAGTTCTTGGCTTTGTCAATTGCCGTCAAGAGCATTGATATCCATATCATGAGAGCCATTAAGAGAATGGCGATGCCGCCTAGGAGCTTTAATGGGCGGAAGAAGGCCGTGGTCTTTAGCCATGCCCTCATAAATCGGCTTCGACCTTCACCGTCAGCCTCTTCTGCTAGGCGTTGCCGCCTGATAAGCGTCCTCTCATCTCGGACGAGGGTATCGAGCTCTCTACGTTCCTTAGAAGAGAGAAGACCCGGATCTCCTCTACAGCGCCCTTCCAGCTGGCGCTGACGCTCTCGATTAGATTCGAGCTGCGCACCTGTCGACGCTTTCCAGGTCATATCTGAAACAGATGGAGCTGCCCGTATCATCCTCATGGGAAGAACAGCAAGGCCCGTTGAGGTATATAAGACATGAAGGAACAGACCCATTGTTATCAATAACCCAAGGGTGAACGTAATGACCCTCTCGCCGCCTAGATGGAAACCAATCAGCATTAGATTATGATGAGCAGGTATGTTGAAAAAGAAATGCACGTAAGGACATGCTAGAGGGAGGCGAAGGGAGATCTCACGATTCTCAGCCAGAAGCTTCCTGAGATAGTCTGAAACATTGCTGTCCTTGATATTCGAAACAGGGACAAGAAAGCCAACAATGAAAAGCACAACCACTATCGCAATAAAGGAGATAGTGTACTTGAACGCGGACCAGAGTCGTTTGGCAGCAGATTGCTCACCAGATTCGATGGCCACTTCATCGTATTCTTCGTACCAGAAATAGACAAATGGGATTGCGAGGAGGCACAGAAATGCATCAAGCGAGTAAAGGAGATAGTACACAGCCGTTAATAGAGAAACAATCTTGTCTACTTCATCCTGAGTGGCCCATGGTTTTCTTTGACCAAGCTTCGAGGATGTGGTAGAAGATATCAAAGCAACATCCACGGGCAACAAAAGAACAGTGGCAAGTAAGCTTGTAATCGCGACAATACACGTGAACGTCACAACTGAGGAGCGATCCCGAGGCGTTTGATATGTATAGATGAACACCGACGCTACCATTACCAGAACAGCTACCACAATAGCGTATACTGCCCATATAAGGGATGTTTGTAAGAGGGCCATCTTAATTATAGGGATAGATTAGGCCCTACAGAAGGCGAAAGACGGCCGTTCCGCAAAGGGTTGGGCGCATGTATGGTCAAGACTCCAAATCTGATGGGAATTCTCTCATCGGAGTTGGTGGATAGACGAGCTAGATTCTATTATGTTTCAAGTTGTAACCATATCCACATCACTCAAGATGGGCATGACGATAGGTATAAGCAAGGCGGGCAAGTAGAGAAATAGATTAGTTGGTGAGACCATCAATTAACGTTCATTTTTGGTGTCAAAAAGTCCGCATGTATTACGTCATCGTTTGGGAGGCCAGATGTCTTGTCACGTGTTGCGTCGCAGTTGGAGCGCGGAACCTCCAATCATGCCCGTCCCAGCTAGGAATAATATTATGATAGAGCCTGGGTTACTATTTATTTTCATCGCCGTCATCTCACGCCTAACACAATTGTTCTCCTTCTCCACAACAATCATCTACTTAGCCCGTTCTTACTTCCCTGGCAATGCTGCCTTTTGCGCAGGTCAGTAGAGTAAACTGGGTTTGACGAGGAGAGTTAGACACTCCTAGGCAAAGCAATTCTCTGGTTTGGCAAACGCATGATGCAGTGCTATACTGAACTATTGCCCCCGACTGGGGTCACCCATGCTTTGGCGGTCCCTTTCCTGGCGGCAACGTCAAATAATCTGATTGTGGTTAGAACATCTCTGCTTCAGATCTATTCGCTGCATAAAGCTACCTCCCATACGGAAGGAGCCGACGCCCAGCCGCAGGAATTGACGAAACTTCTCTTGGAAAAAGAGTATTCACTTTCTGGGACTGTAACTGGTCTTTGTCGGGTCAAGGTTCTCAACAGCAGGAGCGGCGGAGAAGCTGTTTTGGTCGCCTTCCGGAATGCCAAACTTAGCTTGATTGAATGGGACCCAGAGCGTCGAGGCATCTCCACCATTTCCATTCATTATTACGAGCGAGATGATCTGACCCGTAGTCCGTGGGTTCCTGACCTGAAAAACTGTGGCAGCATCCTCAGTGTGGACCCAAGCAGTAGATGTGCGATATTCAACTTTGGAATTCGAAATCTCGCCATTATTCCTTTCCACCAGCCAGGAGATGACCTGGTGATGGATGATTATGGGTCAGACCTCGGGGAAGGAATGTCAACTGATCACGATCTCGGAAGTGGCACTGATAAGGCCAAAGATGGTATTGCGTACCAAACTCCATATGCCCCGTCTTTTGTTCTGCCCTTGACGGCATTGGATCCTTCCATACTCCACCCGATAAGCCTTGCTTTCCTATACGAGTATAGGGAACCGACCTTTGGCATATTATATTCTCAAGTTGCAACATCAAGTGCCCTTCTGCCTGAAAGAAAAGACGTGGTTTTCTATACCGTGTTTACGCTAGATTTGGAGCAGCAAGCATCCACGATATTACTTTCCGTCTCAAGGCTGCCTAGTGATTTGTTTAGGGTGGTGGCCCTTCCACCTCCTGTTGGCGGTGCTTTATTAATTGGATCCAACGAATTAGTGCATATTGACCAGGCAGGCAAGACAAATGCCGTTGGAGTTAACGAGTTCTCAAGACAAGTTTCATCCTTTTCTATGACTGACCAATCCGATCTGGCACTACGTCTTGAGAATTGTATCGTTGAGTGTCTTGGAGATAGCAGTGGGGACATGCTTTTGGTGCTTTCTACCGGGGAGATGGCCATCGTGAAATTCAAGTTAGATGGGAGGTCAGTCTCTGGCATCTCGGTTCACCTACTGCCGGCTCACGCAGGACTTACCTCCATGATTTCCGCGGCAGCTGCTTCAACCTTCATAGGTGATGGGAAAATTTTCCTGGGCAGCGAGGATGGCGATTCGGTGCTTTTAGGCTATTCTTGCTCATCCTCCAGCACGAAAAAGCACCGCCTGCAAGCGAAGCAAGCGATAGATGACTCTGCGGATATGTCAGAAGAGGACCAGAGTGAGGACGATGTGTATGAAGACGATCTTTATTCTACGTCCCCGGACACAACACTTACCGGCCGCCGTCCGTCAGGAGAATCATCTGCTTTCGGGCTGTATGACTTCCGGATGCACGATAAGCTTATCAACATTGGCCCTCTGAGGGACATAACTATGGGACGGAGGCTACCCACGAACCAAGAAAAGGGAGGCAATCGCACTAATAGTACTTCTCCAGAGCTGCAGATAGTAGCTTCCCAAGGCTCACAGAAAAGTGGCGGTTTGGTAGTAATGGCCCGCGAGATCGATCCCCATGTCGTCGCCTCAATTTCACTTGAGTCAGTAGACAGTATCTGGACAGCTTCTTTGACTTTGGAGGAAGAAGCTGCCTCAAGAACGTCTGAGAAGATAGGACAACGATCGCAGCGATGCTATGTTATTGCAACGGAAGCCAAAAGTTCCGACAGGGAAGAATCGCTCATCTTCGTAGTGGATGGCCATGATCTGAAGCCTTTCAGAGCACCCGATTTCAATCCCAATGAAGATGTGACTATTAACATTGGGACACAGGAAAGCAGGAAGCGCGTGGTACAAGTTCTAAAGAACGAGGTGCGGAGTTATGACATGGGTAAGTTCACGCCGAGCCGGTGTCGACGTAACTTTGCTAATCGAACAGACCTGGGTTTAACTCAAATATACCCGATATGGGACGATGACACCAATGATGAACGAATGGCTGTTAGTGCCAGTTTGGCCGACTCTTGTCTTGCAATCCTACGGGACGACTCTACTTTATTGTTCCTTCAGGCAGATGACAGTGGAGACCTTGATGAAGTTGTCCTTGGTGAGGATGTAGCATCTGGAAAGTGGATATCCTGTTGCTTATACAGCGACAAAACTGGGTTGTTTTCCTCCATCGATCAAACTCTGAGTGAGCCAGTCAAGAA